GGTTTTATACCAAGGCAAACAACAGCAGTTTCCCTCCACATCTGCCACGTCCCAATAGACAAGGATGCCCTGACCTTCAGATAACAAAACCTGAAGTACAAAAACACTGACCTCTGCCAGTGTGATGGCTATAGCTCAGTTTTAATACAATTGCAAAAAAAAGGTCGATTTAGTGTGGCCATACAAGTGGTTGCTTTTAAGTAGAAAAACATCCCAGAATTGAGCATGAATGAATTAAAAACAATTGATTTTGATGGTTAAGAGGTTTTGCATAATGTGTCTTTAAAATCGGGTTGACATGTGCAGCTGTCCCTCTCACATGGTTCTTATGTGGTATTTTCCACATTCATTCTTTATGTAAGACAGAGCTGCTTGCTACAGCATTGTCTTTTTATGGCTGTGGCTGAACATGCGCGAAAAAGATACGTGGTCATTGAAGAGGTTGATCGCAGTGAACAAGTGGATTTGGAAATTAAACAAACTCGCTCCTTTGCCAGTATCCATATTGTGTGGTCAAATCCACCCTTAAAGATTTTGAAATATGTTGCTGATCTGAACTACATGTTGAAATATAAGGGCATTTCCTATACATTTTCAGTCTTTTATTTACGGATTGGGTGTATGGACATTGCTGAGTTTATATATATGAAAAAAACACAAATAAAGTGTTTCAGACTTACGGCGCGTTTGTTTATTTTATTTGTTTGAAGGGGACAATAATGAACAGCTGGTGCGGTAAATACATCGGATTGTAGCATTGGGCCACTTTGCATCCAATGTCCCACAGTGAACTATTGAACATGTTTTTAGAGCTAGGGGAAACTGGAGTACCTGGAGGGAACCTATACAGAAATAGGGAGAACATGTTAACTCCACATAGACAGGCCATGTCCTGCCCAGTAAATTCCAGGACCTCCTTGCTCAGATACACAAGTTTAGTTCACTCCAAAGCAAATTCACCAGTCGTCACGTTGTTACTGAACCGATTCAATGCTAGTGAATGATAGCTGTAACTACAGTGTTCCAGGGTTTACAGTAGAGATTTCCCATATATCACAGGCAAAGCAGAATAAGCCCAAAGTGCTTCAGGAGTGCACTTCATGCACCAACTGATGCAGGTTGGTCATGTGTCATCGGATGACGTCACGCGAGTATAGGTGCGTCCACACTTGTTGATCTGGTTCTCTCTTCAAAAAGGGATAAACTATATTTTTCCTTCAAGTGACGCAGACTTGGTCTAGTGAAACAGACCAAGTGTGAACGTGTTGAATACTAATGATCAATCTCCACTTTGCACATCGCTGCAGCTTGAGGTCAACCTTTCTCACCATTCCAAAGACCACTGCAACACTAAACTATTCAAAAACACACACAAAATATAATCCTGATTTAACACTCCTCTGTTTCCAGTAAAGATAATAATAATGCATCGGATTTATATAGCGCTTTTTAGACACGTAAGGACGCTTCACATGAACTTTTGTTGTAGCCACAGCTGCCATGGGGCACACGGACAAAAGCGAGGCACCAGTTTGTGCCATCTGCCCCTCCGGCCAACACCAACCTCTCACACACACACACACCAGTCTCCTTCTCGGCAATGTGAGTGAAGTGTCTTGCCTAACGACACTAAAAGGATGAGGATGACTGTAACTTGCAGACAGTAACATGCCTGACAGTGTGGCATGTGTTGGAACGTGCGTGAAGCCGACTCGGCCTTGAGCAAAGCTGCCCGGGTCTTTAAGGCGAGTAAGACAGCTTTATTGATCACCATGGCAACTGAGACCCTTGCCATTCCAGAGCAGCCCAGATGTGCTCGAAGCGCTCATGCATCTTTCATTTCACCACTATTTACTGAAGGATACTCTTGTCTCCAGTAAGTGTACATTCTAAAGAGCGGAGATGTGGATAAGGCTGGGTGGTATCATAGGTGCAGGGAGGAATTAATTAAAGGTAATACATGTGAAATATTCATAAGATGATCAATGACTCTGTCATTGCTGCAAAAATCAAACATGTTATAAAAGAGATTCAGTTTACAATTTCTATACCTGAGTGATGAAACATAATCAGTTTCCAGAAGAGGACAAGCAGAATAGCTTGTGATATTTGAAAGCTACAGAACAAACTCCTTTTGTTACAAATGCATTAAAGCCACTGCACAGACGGCTGTGAGCTTTAGAAAAGGTACACACTCTGGGATTGCAGATGTAACGCTGACACACTTATGTGAACTATTCAAAAAATTTCATTTGCAAGACTGAATTAAAAGTGGGGGACATCAAATCATTTTAGTTGAAGGAACTTCTTTGGAGACAGAGTTCATATTTTTTCATATATATATTTGTTTTAATCTCAGTCTCCCCATTTATTATCTCCATAGAGCCATGTAAATAATTAGCAATGTTGGGAGTCTCTCATTACAGAAGTAACAAGTATAGTAACATATGTCACATATTCATTTTAAGTAGCCTAGTGGTGTAACTCTTTACAAACAATGCAATTGGTAAAAATCAATCATGAAAAAAATAAAAAACAGAAATGATTCTCATGGAAACAGACTACATCAGTTCAACTTCCATCCTCCGTTTCCAACACATTTGAAGAAAAAGAAAAACATAAAAATAACTCCTACATGTCATTCCATTGTAATCAAAGCATTTTGTTTTTGTAGCACAGTTACATTTAAAAAACATCATTTTTTATATTACTCATGTATTCCTGTAACTAGTAATATATATTATATGATAGAATTTTAAAGGAACTCGCCCAAGTCTCCTTTCTGAGTGCAACATCATCACATAACCTCATTATAAACCTCTCGACCCGTTCAAACTCTCTCTACATACGATGACATGAACAAATCCTTTTGATGCAGTCCATGCAGCTAATATTCTGATCGTCCAATATTTGCAGTTTTGGTCCTGGGTCTTATCTATCGACACTGGTCTCTGCCAGTCTATTGTTCATGATGCCAAGAGCACCCACTCCGCCTGAAAATCCGTTCTGCCGAGAGCTGGAGCTGGGCTGCCGTGAGTGTCCGATGGCCATGTCCGATAACTGCTTCTGCATTAAGGCCAGATTCACCTGCAAACACAAAAACACAGAAGACTTACCAAAGTGGCACGCCATTACGAGGTCATCACTTCTTCTTTCATGTCGAATATGTTTAAACAAACACTTTCAAAATGACAAGTTTCTCAATAAAGATATGTTTTCTATATTTTGATAGAGAAAGTCCAACAGAAACATATATTTACTTTTTAAGCAATGGATTTGAGATGGTTTTTGACAAATCCTTACTATAAAATGTCCAATGTTTTCCCCACAGCTTCCCCATCTCTTCTCTCTATAGATTGTAAATGGGGTCAAAGTCTGAAGGCAATTTTCGTCTAAAGTGTATGATTGTATTCCCATTTCCAGTAGCTTTAACAGAGTTGGAAATATAGTCAGTATAAAATCAATCTTGTTTTCAAATGGTGAAAAGTGTCCTAACTATGCTGTTTAAAATCAAGGCCTATATTCTAAAGACAAGCAGCCATCATTTGCAGTAGAAATTGGCAGTGAGAAATTCTATAGGGGAAAGTTCTATTGAGTAATGATGAAAGATTTCCAACACATCTTTTTCATCGCTCATCACTGTCAGCTTGGCCTAAGAATGGTCCTGTAGTCCTTGTACCTTTATGTTTGTATATATAGCTGAGTGACATATAATTGTTGGGACAGAAGGACACTTGAAAGCACCTCTATTGATGTGAGACAACCATTCAATTACGCTTAATTTACCACTTACGGTTTCACAGATGGAACAATCAGGGACTGTACACAGGGGCCTATAGGTGCAGTGTTCTTTGTAGATTGCAAACAGGAAAAAACCCTATCTTGTGACATGGGCTTGAGAAGGTTGAAAAAAGCCCACATGAATAGATACTCTTTTATTGTGTGTTGCCCTGTGTATGAAAGGCGCTCTACAAATAAACTTTGATTGATTGATTGATTGATTATTGTCTCCCGCAGGATGTCTAGGATATGCTACAAAGACACCGCAATACATTTACATTCACCATTGAGAGAATAACAAATATAATCATAAATGTCCCATCAGAGAGATCGAGGACACATGAAAAAACTGAATTCTAAAAATAGGAAATCTTTGGCACTTTTTGCCTAATGTGCACTCACATTTTTTGAGAGATATAGTTTAACATTAGCTGGAGGCTGGTAATCAATGGTAGTTGTAAAAAAAACAAAACAAGATTTCTTAGTTTAGAGCAAATATCTCTAATTAATGGGCCATAGTTCCACATCCTCTTTGTCAGTACATATCAACTGTGGTCTAATTATTTCATCATTAAGGTGTGGAGAACTGGTGACAATATTCAAAATGCGTAATTCATGATGTTGGCCAGTAGGACTTTCAGCTAATGCAATAATATGGTGAATTTGGGAATCGAATAATTATAATTAAATATTTCAACTGGGAAACATTTGGACATTTTCTTTTTAAAATCTTTCCATACAGAAGAATTGGCACCAACCCTCCAACAGAAATAGGATTCCACAACATGGATGCACTGACAATGAAGAGTGTGGGATGGATCATTATAGCCATGACAACAACTCCTTCAACGAACTGAACTAGAATGCACTGCTGTGGGGAAACATTTGCAAGGAAAAATCTATACTACTACTAAAAAATGTAAAAGTAATTTGACCATGTGCGCAGAACCGCTGTCATCAAAGCAAGTGTGTCTGTGTTTGTAAAAAAGTACTGTACATTTGTGGTACGGCCTTGGAGTGAGATAAGTAAACACATGCCCACCTTCTCTCCCCACAATGAATAAGTCATGTGTGAGGTTTTGAAGTGTCTGTAGAGACGTGCGTATAAGAGATGCAATGGGAAAAAATATTTCACAATAATAACTACAGAGGAATGTGACACGGGAGAAAAACAGGCTTGTATAATGATAAAAACAAGTAGGTTGCACCTTAAAGCCTAAATGGATAGAAATGTTGATCTTGTATGTTTTTATGACAAACAAGTTGTTAGAACCCGGCATAGATCACTTTTTGTTTTTTATTAGAAAAATGTTTATCGTGCAATGTCCCTGATTGAATAAATAAATCCAAATATTGACTGATTAATCTAGTGTAGCCTACATGACAGTACAGAATTGTCTATGCAAATTTGTCTCCATCAAAAACACACTTGAGTTGTGATTGTTTCTGGCACAGACATGTCCCTATAGACCTATCTGTCTAACGCTCTGTTTTCATTGTTGTTACGTAATGATGAAGCCTAACAAGGATTCCATTGACAGAGCCATATTTCTGTCCTTTAAAACAATTAGTGTTGCCCCTAAATTCTTTTTGGAACGTATTCTGTGTGTGAGTGTGTAATTTTCTGTTTTGTAATTTCCCATTTCTACCACTGATCCATTCTCAATATCTTACAATATTTATGCATAATATTTGTGACGTCTGAAGACTTTTTTTCCCCTTGTGGTTGTGGTGCACCATAAAATATCAAACATTTCTCTCGTAAATAAAAGGCCCCATGTTTCTTGACTCAGAGATTCTCCAAGGAGCTTTTTATTGTAGTCAGTAATTGCTCTTTCGCTCTTTTTTGATCCCTGCAGTGAATCAAAACGGCTAAAAGCACTCTCTGGATCGAAGAACAATGCACACAATGAAAAAGACCAGAAATATTGACTAATTCTGCCACCAATTCATTGAAGCTTTCATTGTTGATTATCAAACGCATATTAGAAGATCCTTTATTCTGCACATCTTAAGCTCATGTTCAGATTTCAGATATTATCTATTTTTAAAAAAGACCAAACTATGTGTGTTGCAACTAAACATGTTAGATCAAAGTGTCAGAGTGACTCCACTCTGACACTTTGATCTAACATGTTTAGTTTCTTGGATTTTTCTTCAAACCAACAAAAAGAAAGACAAAACCATATAAATTTGCCAATAGGCGCTTTTAGCTTTTTGTTAGATTTTAAGACCTAGAGTTTTACAAATTCTGTCACTTAAAACCCTTAAACAATCTCCATGTTTTTCTTTCTACTATCCCCCATTTTCCTTCCACTCCCCCAAAGTAAGAAAGTACAGTGTTTTTCAGAATCACACTAGGGCAGGCGGAAGTGGCATTGCCAAATCTCAACCCCAGCAAGCATGACCGATAACGCAAATCCTAGACTCATACAGGCAATAGGTTTGAAGTGTCTCGCCTCAGGAAATGATGGTGGCACCTGGTATTACAGCAGTCCCACTGTGGCGCCTGATACCACAGAGATCCCACTGTAGCACCATAGACTGTACAGTGCCTTGCGAAAGTATTCGGCCCCCTTGAACCTTTCAACATTTCGCCACATTTCAGGCTTCAAACATAAAGATATAAAAAAAATTTTTTTGTCAAGAATCAACAACAAGTGGGACACAATCGTGAAGTGGAACGAAATTTATTGGATAATTTAAACTTTTTTAACAAATAAAAAACTGAAAAGTGGGCCGTGCAATATTATTCGGCCCCCTTGCGCTAATACTTTGTAGCGCCACCTTTTGCTGCAATTACAGCTGCAAGTCGCTTGGGGTATGTCTCTATCAGTTTTGCACATCGAGAGACTGGAATTCTTGCCCATTCTTCCTTGCAAAATAGCTCGAGCTCAGTGAGGTTGGATGGAGAGCGTTTGTGAACAGCAGTCTTCAGCTCTTTCCACAGATTCTCGATTGGATTCAGGTCTGGACTTTGACTTGGCCATTCTAACACCTGGGCCTCTTGGCTGCATCTCTGATCAGTCTTCTCCTTGTTTGAGATGAAAGTTTGGAGGGACGGCCGGGTCTTGGTAGATTTGCAGTGGTCTGATACTCCTTCCATTTCAATATAATTGCTTGCACAGTGCTCCTTGAGATGTTTAAAGCTTGGGAAATCTTTTTGTATCCAAATCCGGCTTTAAACTTCTCCACAACAGTATCTCGGACCTGCCTGGTGTGTTCCTTTGTCTTCATGGTTCTCTCTGCGCTTTAAACAGAACCCTGAGACTATCAAAGAGCAGGTGCATTTATACGGAGACTTGATTACACACAAGTGCATTCTATTTATCATCATCAGTCATTTAGGACAACATTGGATCATTCAAAGATCCTCACTGAACTTCTGGAGTGAGTTTGCTGCACTGAAAGTAAAGGGGCCAAATAATATTGCACGCCCCACTTTTCAGTTTTTTATTTGTTAAAAAGGTTTAAATTATCCAATACATTTCGTTCCACTTCACGATTGTGTCCCACTTGTTGTTGATTCATGACAAAAAATAAAAATTTTAGATCTTTATGTTTGAAGCCTGAAATGTGGCAAAATGTTGAAAGGTTCAAGGGGGCCGAATACTTTCGCAAGGCACTGTATATTGATGGATAATGCTTTTTTTTTTACCATCTCACCAGCATTATGTATGTCATTGGAATTTTTAACACAACCAAAACAAATGTCGGAGGAATTACTGAGATTCTGAACTTTAAATTTTTTTTTTTTGTAATGGATAATGCTAACCCCCAACTCCAGACCATGATTCATATAACTTATAACTTCTGAGGTCCAATAAGGAAGTGTTTTGCTACTGATTCCTATTGACTCATTGAAAAGTAAACTCCACTACCTCAGTAATCGTTTGTGTCACACTCATAATTTTTGTCTGGCCCCATTTCTGTAATCCACGTTATGGTTACTTGATCAAGACATATTTGCTTGTCATTCACATCATCTGTTAATTGTGTGGATATAAGCACTGTTTGAATATGCATTGTGGGCCTAAGGGACTTTAAATCCTCTTTGAGCAATGGAGAGAGGTAATAACGCAGCAGCACCACTTCAGGGTGTATTTTATTGGATATTAGAAAAGCTGCCTGTAATCGCACACATGCTGACGTGCCAACTAAATCTCCCAATCATTTTATTTTTAAAGCCATTACAGAATTAATTACATTTCTGTTCTTTTTTTTATTATAACAGCCTCTGGAATTAGGTTAGTCACATTTATTAGCAGAGGCCCCTTTGAGGTCACACTCTCTACATCTCACAGCCATGGCCAAACGCCCAAATGGTCTTTATATTCACATCATTTATGATTAGAGAAAACTGCAGGTAAAATTGGGGGTGATTGCGCGTAAATAATCCAGGTTGAATGTACCAACCTGATTGAACAAGATTATAGACCACGGATTAGACAGCGACCAAACTCAAAGTGTCGATGTTGCCTCTGCAGGTCAACTGGTCAGGCTACCTGTTCATTCATCACTCAGTCAGTGTTGTAATGTCAAATATGTGACAACCTCAATCTCAGACCCAAGCTGCCCATTTCTGAGCTGAGTTAGCTGTCACATATGATTGCAGGGCTACAGAATCAATCAGAGGAAAAAGGAAGTGTCTACAGAGAAGCAAAACCAGGTGACAAGTGTGCTTGTGCGCTCAGCTATTTCTCATAGTTTTATTTCACTTCAAGAATCAGTAAAACCACATTGGAATTTGGAATATATAATCTCTGCTTTTGGATTGGATTGGATTTTAGTGCAAAGTTTGGCTGCATCCAGTATTGGCAGTATAAACATTTTAATATGTAAGTGTCGTCCCTTGTGTGACTACTTCTATAGCCTGTTTCACTTGACTTAGATGTAAGCAATCAGTTTGATGTTGCTGTCTATATTCTTGCTTTGCTTGGTCTGTGAGTTCCCACTGTGCACACTCCAAAAGAAAGTGTAGAATTTGACGAGGGTCAATTGTCAGGTTGTTCTGAAAGGCTCTGGGAATTTTGATTAAAAATCCTCAGTGAAAATGCCATGGTCTGTTCAAACCCAGGTCTTTGAAGCTTAACTTGCATGATACATTTTGTGGTTTTAGATAATGTCACTGTTAAATTTTATGTTAAATTAAATTAAAAAGTCTCTCCAAAATGTTGAGATGTCACGATTACAACTATTAATGCAAAATCAAGCAAGCTCCTCATAATAAATGGGACCTGCAACTTCTTGTAAAGTCTGCAAGTTTTCCACAACTTTACAGAAACAAATAAGTGGTATGTGGCAGTGTGACTGAGTCAGTCTATCCCTTGTCGCTAAGCACTAGTTGTGGGCGCGCTCCTATCACCCTTCACTGTGCGAGGCGCGTTCCCGCGCAGAATGTTCTAAAGCCCGGTGCGGTAAATGAAACACTTTGCACTCATGGGTCTCGCTGCAAAACGTACACTCACCGCCACATATCACCTTGCACTGTCTCCTCTATGAGCCAAACATTACGAGAATCCATGGATCGCCCGCAGCTCGGGGTACACACTGGGATTGCATGCCTCTCCTCCTTCCGCATATGCGATTCCAGGTGACTGGTCCAACAGAGTGCATTTATGGCCACGGCACCAAGCCAATACCAGAGCATTTATTTGGGAAAATAATCTTGTTTACTTTATTTGTGCTTTTATATTTTATCAAAAAATTTATTTATTTTTGTTAACAATTATTAACTTTATTGATCGGAAAGTATGTTTTGCATGGGGGGAAAAAGGCGCTTGCCATTGCAACTTTCAGAAAAAATTTCCGCACAATCAAGCAATTAGCCAGCAACAATCACAATAATTGGCCGCGAAATCCTGGAGGGACTGATTAAGCCATATCTCTCTCTCACCTTATTAGCAGCCAGGAAGTCCCTCATTGAGATCATCTCCCCAGACATCCTACGCCCAGTATCGGTCTCACTCTCATTCACCGCATCTGTCTCAATGGAGGGGTCCCGGCGAGTACGCACATTCCTGGGAACCACTACGTTTCGACGCGGGTGTCTGTGTGGGTTCCCCTTTCTGGAAAAACAACAGCGGCAAGGGGATTCCAATCTCCGAAGCAACCAGTTCAGAACCTGCTTGATCACGATGGATATTACATTGAAGAGCGAGTATATGCAGCAGACTCCGGTAAGGATGAACAAGAAATTGCACACTCTGTAAGCAGCAGTGGGAAACCCCTCGTAAACAGTTCTCTGGCTGCTCACCATGTCCCCGAATCCGATGGTGCTAAAGGCGACAAAGCAGAAATAAAGGGAGTCCAGGTATCCCCAACCTTCTGTGGCGGAGTACATAGCAGAAGCGCAGCAAGAAACCAAAATGGCCGCCACGCCCAGGATTAACATCACGCAGTAAACAGATGGCTTCCACCCGGACAGGTCTTCCACTTTTGTCCGAGTCTGGCGACCATTTTGCGGCAGGACGGCGTTTCCATGGCGCTTCTCGTGGCAGGATTTTAGGACAACGGCGATGACGGTAATGACACGCTCCAGGAAGAGGTTGAAGAACAGGATGGTGGAGGCGCAGCCCAGCAGACCGTAAAACATCAGGAAGACTTTACCGCCAATGGTCGCGGGCGTCGTCATCCCAAAACCTTGAAAAAAAAAAGGAAATGTATCAGGGAAGCATCTAAAATACATGGACCATATAAAAGAGACATAATGCAAAATGTACTCTCAAGCTTTTTGCCATGTTTGAAAACTGATCCCTCATCAACAACAGACCTGGAGTTGCTTTTAGATCTGTCCATGTTGAACTTTTGGCTCAAACATGTAACTGCCCCTTCTGTTTAAAAGCTTTTTTTCCAGTGGTAATTGCACCACTATGAAATTAAACAAAATAATTGCCCAGAAATTAGTTAAGTAATTATTTTCTAATTAAAAAAAAGACAAAAAACACTTTTTACACTTCCCTCTAGTGTTGGCATAGGGAGTTACAGGCCGATAGCATGTTTTGCCCTTAATACTTCTTTCACCATGTTTTCAACTGAAGATAATATTTCACTTTCTAAACCTGAATTGACAACATCACTAGACTATTTTTTTTGTAATGGCCAAGAATAATGTGCAGAATTAAAGAATGTCTTCTTTAAATGAGCCTTGATATCTCAGACCAATTAGAAATCTCCTGGGTGTGCACACTGCCTGTTATAGTTCAAAAGGGTGCGGCCATCCAATTGTATGTTTTTTGTTCATGTGCACGTGCATTTTCTAGTATTTCAAATTTTTTTCACATTTGCAAGTAGAATTTGAACACTGGAATGACAATAGCCTCTATATAATCTTGGTATTACATTTAAAAACCACCATTAAATGCAAAAAACACAAAGTAATTTGGGCTTTTATGTATGTTCATTGACAAGCACTGTCCTGGTCAAATCAATAAATAGATTTTGAATTATTGATAATATTGAAAACTGAGAAAACATTTATCAGCAGGTATACACTCGTCTTAGAAGTTTGTGGAAACTTTTAAACAAGTATTTTAAACAAGTATTGTCAGAATATTCTTTGATTCAGCACAATTTAAGCACAATTTATCCACTGACTTGTGTCGGGAAGCAGCGTGTTCTCTGGGATTTCTTTGTTGACACAATGGACATTGATTGTTTTAATGTGGTCTGTTTTGAACGATGTCCCCCATGTTCTGGGAAGCTAACAGGTTGTTTCCAGTGGGCTGCACAGATGAGGTCTAAATGAGCACAGAAACGGCACGTAGCTCTGTTCCTGCCAATGACAAAACTGCTCCTAATGCACCCATAAATGAGCGTTTATCTGCTCATGTTTACGATATCACATCTAAGTGCTTTGCTTTTTTCTCTAACCAGTCACTGCATTATTATAATTTAGCTTGGGGAAGTGGGAAAGTAGAGTCAAGGCTATTTATAGTC